ACAATGTATTTTCTTAACTATTGACGTTTTTAAAGATATAAGCTCATCCTGATGTTACACTCATCAAGACCTTTCATTTGAGTACCCACATGGAATTTTTCATATATTTTATATATTTATATATATATATATATTATATATATGTATATATGAAAAATATATCAAAAATACATGTGGGTAGTTAAATGAAAGCTCTTAATGAGTGCAACATCGGGATGACCTTATATCTTTAAAAATGTCAATAATTAAGAAATGACGTTGTATCTTGTGAATTATTGACATTTTTAATGATATAAGCTCATTCTGATGTTACACTCATCGAGACCTTTCATTTGAGTACCCACAACAATTTTTCATATATTTTATATATTTATTTATATCATATATATGTGTATATGAAAAATATATCAAAAATGCATGTGGGTACTCAAATGAAAGGTCTCGATAAGTGTAACATCGGGATGAGCTTGTATCTTTAAAAATGTCAATAGTTCACAAGATACAAGGTCATTTTTTAATTATGTATCTAGAGATAGAAAATTTTCGAACTTATCATAATAAATTGACACAATAATATAGATGATTTTTCTGTATAAATTTAAAATTTTTAATATTATTATTATAAATAAAAAATTAATTACTAAAAAAGTTTCATACTTAATTAAAAAAATATATTTCCAACAAGCCAAAAAAATTAAAATTCTTAATTGAAGAATTATTTCTCAATTAAACTCAAAGTTTTTTTTAGTAAAAAAAAAAAAATCACAGCAAACTCTAGTACACTACAGTAATAGTACAAGCAGAAGGTACTTTCTCGAGGATGAATGAATGAGTTGTTTGTTTAACCGTCATCACTCACTTGAGGACACACTTGTTAGTCTTGATCGGTATTTGTTTAGTTATTTAAAAAGCAATAGAATCTTTCTTCTATCTCTAGCAGAAGAATTTTGCTACCGGGTTTATCTCAGGATAAGTCGCCGGAGGGTTCAGCTACATTGTGTAAATATTGGTCCTGCGTGTAAGCAAGAAGCCAAAGTAAATCCGGGAGAAATTATCTGCTCAAACTCGAATAAATATCTATGTATATTCATCTCAGTTGGTCTCTCATGTAATGTGTGCTGTGTATATTTACCATACGGTGTTATATTATGAGCAGTGGTAGTTGCGGCACGAGTGGGTACCGATGGGCTGATTGGATGGCAAACAAATCGTTTAAAGCCGTCTTGCTCCTCCACATTACATCCACACTCCAATATGTGGATAATATTTATCCTTCTTTTCTCATCTCTCTCTCTCTCTCTCTCTCTCGCTTTCTCTCTTGCACTATATAGTCTTCTTAATACTTACACACTTATACTTATACTAACTAATATTAACTTAACGTATAGTATCTCATTTGATTCCTCTTGTTTGGCTTTCCGGTTTCGTGATGCCCACTTTGCTGATGGCGTGCCAGCACGCGTCTGTCTGCTTGCCCGGCTCCAAGCCGAACAAACGACCAACTCGAGAATCTTCCAAACAACCCGGTGCTGATTTAGATTCGGATACATTCTATCCATAAAAGATGATAGCTACACAGAAAAAAAGGTTCACTTGAGCCAAGAAAATATTTTTCTTGCTAATTATTTTCTTTAGCGAAAATAAAATTTTTTTTTGTTCCAGTTAAAAATTGGAACTATAAAAAGATTTTTATTTAAAGAAGAAATAAATTAATTTTGTTAAAATAAACTTTAATTTACAACATGAAGATGATAATGACAGATTGTTCGAAGCGAGAGGCTGATGATGTGATCAGCTACTGGTTTTAGCCATCACTGAATTATTTAAAAATAAAAACCGAAGCGCTCTGTAAGATAACTGTGTAATTGGAGAACCGAGCTACTGGGTAAAAATTATTAAGAGCCGCTTGACTGCTGGTGTTTTATTTGCCCGTACCTCTTTCTTAAATCTGATGATCTTCTTCATATACAGGATAGGGGTCCGTACCTCGTACTCATCCTCATCCTCAGCGTCTTTTGAATTTTATACTCACACTTTACTTTGCTGGTTTATGGGATAGGGTGAACCTCAAGCTCGAGCACTTTGTATTGGAGCATGTTAGACAGTAGTCGGGGAGCAGAGTGCGTGGATCGCACAAAAAAGTTTAAATTTTCTTCATCATCTTTATTTTACGTGGTATGGCATCTTCAAGACAGATGGTTGCTGTGCTTTTTTTTTATCGCTAACTTCTCAATTATTTTGAGATTAGTCCCATCCTCTGACATTTTTTTTTTATATTTTATTATTATTATTATATTAGTTAATAATAATGGACTCTTTACAATTAATATAAATAAAAAGTCATTATGTGACTGCCGTGACTTGTAAACTATAAATAAAATTTTGCTTTATTAAATAATGACTTTTGTTAAATTACACTGTATTTTCTTAAATATTAACGTTTTTTAAGATATAAGCTCATTCCGATGTTACACTGATCAAGAGCTTTCATTTGAGTACCCACATGCATTTTTGATATATTTTTCATATATAAATATATATAATATATATAAATATATGAAAAATTGATGTGGGTACTCAAATAAAAGGTCTTGATCAGTGTAACATCGGGATGAGCTTATATCTTTAAAAATGTTAATAATTCACAAGATATCTGTCAAATTGCATTGTACTTTCTTAACTATTGACGTTTTTAAAGATATAAGCTCATCTCGATGTTACACTCATCGAGACCTTTCATTTGAGTACCCACATGGAATTTTTTTTATATATTTCATATATATGGTATTTGTAAAATATATAAATATATAAAATATATGAAAAATTGATGTGGGTACTCAAATGAAAGGTCTCGATGAGTGTAATGTCAAGATGAGCTTATATCTTTAAAAATGTCAATAGTTGACAAGATACAAGATTATTTCTTAATAATATAGATAATTTAAGTTGCAATTTTATTATTTTTTTTATATTTATTATTAGTATTCAAAAATTTTAAATAAGTTAAATATAAAATATAAGACAAGCAGCAGCCGCGCAGTAGCTATCAAAGCATTGGACCGGGTTCGAATCCGGCGTACACCAATGAATATTTTCAATATTTAAGTGTATTATTCTGCTCAGCCCAAGAAATACAAACGAGTTCCAATCTCAAAAGTTTACCCCCTACCGTAGTCGCCCATGACCTTAGTAGTTTATGCGACTTTAAACAAATAAAAAAAAAAAAAAAAAAATAAAAAGACAAGCAGCGATGTAAATAAAATAATTGTTTGAAATAAAATTGATGATAAAGATAATGATAATGATGATAATGATAATGATAATGATGATGAAGATGAAGATGATGGTGGCTGCGGTTGTACGCAATTTACTAGCACGTGCTTATTTATGGTCAACTTAGTACGGTCGATTGAACGGCAACACGATCGACCACATGGTTGTTCGGTGACTGGTATATGCTGTATATTTGATCTTCTGACGTATCAAAGAACATACCTCAAGACATTTAATCCATTCATCAACGGATAGGAGCTATCGTAATATTAATATATAATATATATTATTATTATTATTTTTATAACGTGGTCGCTTTCATTAATAAGACTTTTGCGAACCCGAATGTTTCGTTACATTAGTTTACAGATACACTTTGCTTTTGTTACTGTTACTGATTAGTTACAACACATATGTATTTATTTGTCATTCTGATTAATGATTAATGATACTCCCATTGACATAATATACAACGCGATTCGCTGAACTCATTGAAATTTTAATACTATGTTTACAATAATTTTATCATGTTGTAACGTTGTCCTATTGCAAGGTCGTGGTGATTGATATTTTATAATCAAAGAATTTTATTTGTTTAAATTTTCTTTGAGTGATATCAATTTTATACTTAAACATGCCTTTGATTAAATTATTAATACACTGATTAAAAAATTAATTTTTGATTTAAGAGAAAAATTTTGAACCAAAAAAAAAAAATGTTTGATCTAATAAATTTTACTTCGTTTTTAAGAGAAATTTTCTACTTAATTTAAAATAATTAAACTTTTAAAATTTTTTATCTTAATTGGTTCAAATTATTTTCTCCTGATTAAATTAAATTTTTTCATTAATGTACGTACTTAAAATATCAATCTTATAAATTTAAATTTATTTTTAATGACACTAATAAAAAGTTTAACTTTATTTAAAAGAAAGAAAAAATAATTTTTAAGATTTTTATCATTAAAAAATCAAAGAAAAAAATTGTTTTCTTTCTTATACTAATTTTTTTTTTTTTTTATGAAGTTATAATTTACTGTAAAAATATTAAAATATGATCTCTGATTTTTTTTTTTTATAGAAATTTAAGCGCGTAATTTAAATTTCTAATTAAAGAGTCAGAATATTTTTATACTGTAATAAAATAATAATCCTTAAAATATATTTCTAGAAAGAAGAATGAATTCCGCAACACATTGGGTGTGTATAGTAGCCGTGCTGGGGTTCACTGCAAAAACAGATGCATCGATAGCAAACGATACTCATAGAGTAATATCTTGCGATGAGGCTAAATTGAAGTGTGGATACAGAAAAGGATGTGGCGGTGCTTTGCAGCGGTATTTAACGAGCTGCGCTGGTATTTATCAAGACGAAGAAGACAGGAATTGTCCTGAGCAATGCCAGCTAGACCTTATTTCGCTCACAAGCACGGACGAGGGTAAAGACCTCATGAATGTACGTATATTTTTTTTTTAAATTTATTATTCATTTTAAATAATTAAATTTCTAAAAAAATTTTTTGAACTTTCAGTGTCGATGTACCAAAGAGGATTTTATGTGTATAGACTCCAAGCAGAAAGTTGAGGTCTGCAGGGAATCAATTAATAGACTAATGAATAATACAAGACTTAGTTGTAAAATAGCCACTGGCATTTGTAATGCCGATACACTTTGTTTTACTGCGCTGCAATATTACCACAAACATTGTAAACATATGTTCAATGGAAGAAGATGTACGCATCGGTAAGTTTCGGCTTTTTTATTTATACTTTTTTTAATTAAAAAAAATCACATGATACAATTTTTATAAATTTTATAGAAATTAAATTGTAAAATTTAATTATTATATTTAAAGTTGTAAAAATTAACATTTAAAATTTTATTTTGTTAATTTTTTTAGTTTTAAATTTAAAGCGACACTTATTACTATTTATAATGTGATTTTTCCAATTTAAATATCGTTTTTTAAAATTACTCATTAGTTTTTTTTTAATTAAAAATAAAATATTTAAATATCGTTTATTAATAATGTTACAATTTCAATTAATTTATTTTTCTTTTATGTATATTAATTTTTTAAAATAAAAAACAATAAATTCAACAATTATTTTTTTATTTATATTCTTCAGTAAGAAAACAATTTTAATAATTTTTAATAAAACAATAAAATGATTAGAAAATTATAAATTCACTTCCATAAAATTAATTATAAAAAAAATTATTAAAAAAAAAAAAAGTACTAAAGAAGAACTAATAAAAACTAAAATGTATTATTCCAGGTGTAGAAATTCGTTGAATATCCTCCTGAGACAGGATAAAGCTGCGAGTTTAAAAACGTGTGTGTGTGACGGCCGTGAGGATTACGATTGCCGTGGCGTACATCGTAATATGCACATACTGTGTTTTAACAAAACAGAAGAAGAATACTCACAAATACTGCTAGAGCAATATCCAGACACGTATACTAACGAAGTCGGAGGAGACGTTAATTCCGGCGAGTCGATTTACTTTAGAGCAACTTACATTATTCTAATTGCTCTTTTAATCCTCTTAAAAGGTAAATATCATACATATCTTCATTTTATAATTTTACACATCTAAAATTCTATTGAATAAAATTTAAGACTTTTTATTTATTAAAAAAATAAACACGTGACACTGAAGACAAAGTTTTAAGAACTAAGACACTGCTTTCATAAGTTTAAAAATAAATTCTCCGTTAGATCCTCTCTCTTTCTTTGTCCCTTTATTTTTTTAAGCGTTTTTCTCATCTCAAAATGTCTTTACACCATTATGGACAAAAATAAACCCGACAACGTTTTTCCTTCGCCTCTTTGTCTGTCTGCATGATTTTTGCCCAAAAATTTTTATAAAATTATCATTATCATAATAAACAAACATACTAATTAAAATAAAAAAATCAAAGTTTACTTCTGTTACAGACTGATGATTCACTGCAATGATAAGAAAGCAAAGAAGAAAAAAAATACAAACAGTATTCAGTATGTGAATGACCAAAGATCCTAAATATTTTTAAAAATCCGTGGATATATTGTGGGCTGTAAGCTGTAACAGACCGGAAAATAAATAATATAATGAAAAATTTTAATGAGTTAAAATAAAAAAGCTGATTAGATAGATTTCTTTTTTTTTTTTTTTTTAAGCTAAATCTATCTTGGACGACGATCAAATTTATCTATAAAAGTAGGAGTAAGGTTTTAAATAAATTGAAATTATAATTTTATTTTGAAATTAGCTGACTCGGATTATAAAGAAGAAATGTATAATCCGATAACAGAGTTATTATAGAGAAAATTGTTGAATTTAAGACACTATTTTAGATTGTGGAAAGAAATAAAGATTTTAAATAGCATGTTCATTCTGTAAATTAAGTGTATGATAGTATAGCCATCAATTAATATTTGTTTTTATTTATAATATATTAATATGAATGTGTAACGCGTTTAAGGGTGTGTAAATAAACGGGTTTATTATTATTTTCAATTAATAATAAATTATCAATAAATAATTAATTTTGAAATAATTTTTTTTATTTATTATTATTATTATTAATAATTAAGAAATGACCTTGTTTTCCGTGAACTCTTAACATTTTTAAAGAAATAAGCTCATCTTGATGTTACTCTCTTCAAGACCTTTCATTTGAGTACCCACATCATTTTTTCATATATTTATATATATTATATATATGTATATATGAAATATATATCAAAAATGCATGTGGGTACTCAAATGAAAGCTCTTGATGAGTATAACATCAAGATGAGCTTAAATCTTTGAAAATATCATTAAATTAAGAAATGACCTTGTATCTTGTAAAATATTATCATTTTTAAAAATATAAACTGATCCCGATGTTACAATCATTGAGACCTTTCATTTGAATACCCACATCAATTTTTCATATATTTATATATATATATATATATATATATGTATATATGAAAAATATATAAAAATGCAGCGAAAAAATTACTCGAGTCGAGAATCATTTCCGGTGAATCATTTTGACCTTACTAAAGTTTTGATCTAAATTGTATTTTTTTTATACATCAAAAGCTGCTTATCTGTAAATTTTTAGCGCTCAATCTCCAAAAATTTTTAAGATATGAATAAAATCTTAAAAAATCAATTTTATAGTCTAGTCTCCATACAATAAAATGTAAAAAATAACATTTTATACATTTGCAGAGTTAGTATGGAACGTCATGTTTACATTTACCAAATATCAATGTATTGATTATAATCAAACACCCAATATGGTGCGCCGAACACATCCTGTACTATTTTGTACATTACGAAAAACACCCTCCGAAAATTGAACGACATTTGGAAATTTTTCAATTCTAATACGCCAGTTTGTTAGACTCAACTGTACGTTGCTCATCAAAAGAACGATTTTTGTGGTTTAAGTTTTAAAAAAATGAACAAAGAAGCAATAATTTATATATTCGGTACTTTATGTATTTTGGTAAGTCAAAAAAATTATATCAATAAACAATTAAATTTTTTTGAGGCGATTTAATGGCTGCCTTTAAATCAAAGTAAAATATAATAATTAACAAACAAAATTTTTTTAATGAATCAAACTAACTTTAACAAGTTTGAGAAAAATGCTATTGAAAAAAAAATCGTTCATCGTAAAATTAGCACCTGGGCCTTAATAGTACGACAACTAACTCAAGAAAAAACATTTTATGAATATTAATAAAATAATTAATTTTATGGTCATAGTATTTAACGTACTCTGTAGTAATTAAAAATTTAACGATATTTATCAATTAGCTGGATACGCACACATATACTTATTAACAAGAAAGTGTGTATTGTGTATAAGTTAGGGAAAAAAAAAAATGATCAATACAATTTTAGGGGACTCTGACTGCATGCTTGTGTACATAGCATCGGGACACACTAGAATTAAAATGAAACATTTTTGAATATTCGACACTGCGGTCGCAGCGCTATCTGTCGGATCCAAAGTAAAACATTCCAAGATCAACAACAATTTGTAAATTAAAAATAAATTAATTAATTAATATATAAAGACGAGTATTCTTGTGTACCCAGCTAATATAAAATACGATTGAAACAACCAGAAAATCTAAACTTTTTTATTATTTAATATTTACTATTTGATATCAACAGTTATTAAAGCTCCTCATTATTAATCAATAGTTAAGGATCGCATTATGATTTTTTAAAATCATTTTATTAATTGTACTTATATCAATTACAGCAAATAGTTGATTCGCATCTTGAAATTGAATCAAATAGTTTCGATTCAAAAAATGAAGCTCAGGATATAAAATATCTTGTTTATCCTACGAGTCATGGTGAATCAAAATTTTGTTTTCAACCATCAAGAATGGCGGATAATTCGTCTATGCCGTTCGTGGAATTAAGAATTGATAGCTTTCCACCATTCGTAAGTTTTCAATAATCATTCACTTATCATGATCATCTAATCATCTATTTTCCATTCGCAGAATCGATCAAAAAAATCTCCTAGAATTTTGTTTTTCGTAGTAGAGCCATCGTATTTAGAATATGCACGTGAACCATTGAGACTGAATAAATTATGCTTACACTTTTTCCGTTTTTATTCGGCTCCATTTATAGCCATAATACTTATGGTGGCTATTTTCATTTTCTACGGTGTGAGCATTCTGTATTTATTTTACAAATGGAAGTCGATAAATAAAACCTTCCAAAAGAAAGTCACAAAGAAAAGATAAAATTAGTAATAATGTTGCTACTCATTCCTGTTGGTTCCATTTGGGTAAGTCAAAAAATATACTTGATTGATATTTAAAAAGAAATATTTTGATTCAAAAGAAAAGAAAAAAGCAAAATTTTTCTGCTTTATTTAAAATGATTGAATTTGAAATCATGTCCATGGTTTCAAATTTTTTTTTTTAATAAAATAGTTCATAATAATTCCATTAAATTCCTTTTATATCTACTATATCTACTATTCAATCTTCCTTCCGTAAATATCGAACTATCCTATGAACAAAAAGTTCGCTTCGATCTGGATCAAGAATCAAAATTATGTTTAACACCACAACAATTCGCAAAAAAATTGGCTACATCTTTATCTGAAAAAAAAATTAATGGCACTGCAAACTTTGTTGTAAGTATTTCAAAATTACTATCTTCAGAAAAAAAAATTAGGAGAATTAGAAGCCCTCCGAACTCAAAGGAAAGCTTTTTAAAAACTTGATTTTCGCAAAACGGGGTAAAACCAATAACTTCCCGATTTTTGAAAATCTTTGATTTTCTTAGCAGGAAGTTGAAAATGATTTAAAACATCTAATAATTTTTAATACTTTTACAGAATCAAGCAGATAAACTTGTCCTCGATTTTCACCAGGAAGAACAGCATATTCTCATTATAAGACTTAGCAATTCAATTTTTATAATTGACGATAATTTTAGGCATAAAAAGGGAGTCCACTTGTTCTTGTGTGAAGATTATGAAATATTAATGATCATCAGTCTAATGCCCATAGCTATGGTGATAACCACCATTGTAATGATTTATTTGATAAAGCTTGTTGTAAAGTGGACTTATAGATTACTGGATCGTGTTTCTGACATAAAAAAAGAACTTGCTTCTAAAGTTATAGTTACACCAGCTTTAACTCTAGAATCTAATCTCAAGGGTAGTGTGACTTCAGAATTATGCACAGAAAAAAAGTGATTATCATTTTGTGAAACGGTGATGCAGCTTTTGGCACAATAATAGAATAAGTGCCTTAATACAGTAAGTCTATAAGATTTAATACATTAGGCACTAATTCAGATTTACTTTTTTTTCTGTGTAGGTACAAATTTTTTGAACAATTTCTTGATTGAACATAAATCTTAATAAAAAGTTCTTATAATTTACTCTGTTTTTATTTATTAGCCAGCTTGTAAACATTTTTTGACATTAACCATCATTCAGTGCAGCGAAATCATGGGTAAGAAGTACCCCCGTCCAACATTACGCGCCGTGTTATTTTGCCTAATAGGAACGGGGAACTTTTTTACAATAGTAGTTTAAATTAACGCGATTTGACTAAGAATTCATACAAAAGCTCATTAAGGTCCAAATTAAACAAGTAATCAAAGAGTTTATTTTTCAAAATTAAAAAAGTTAATTAGTTATAACTAATAAACTTATTCAGATAGAGATAGAGAGCAAGTTAAAAAATTTTGCTTTAAATATTTAACACAAATTTTTTTTAACGCAATTTCGCATTTTTTTTTTAGACTCTCTAGGCTCTGATTGCTGTCGCTACTTCTATTTCTATTATTATACCTATTTTACATTTGCTTACATTAGAGTTAACTTTAATTTAACAGGAGATGCGTCAAATAAAAATGGTAAAGAGGGTGGATGACAATGATGAGGACGTTGTTTGTTGTGAAGAGTGCTCATCGCCCTATACAACCTTTTCTATTGAGCATCAGCTGTTATTGTGGACCAACTATACGGATGCAACACACAACGTGGTTTCTTGTGACCACACACGTCGGCCCACAAACGTCGTCTCTTTCTCTCTTATTTTCTTACTCTCGCCTGTAGGCTATCCGTAATATTACTACATAACATTCACGGTTATATATATATATATATATATATATATCTCTGAGTAAATATGTGTACACAATCTCTGTAGATTGTGTTAATACATCAATAATTTTTGATGATATGATGAGCATCCATTTCACTTCTTTCAAACTTATCAATTTCTTCACTATTAATTGTATTTTTGAGTCAATAATTCAAAAAATTTTTTAATTGAATGTAAAGCTAAAAACAAAATGTGTTTTCTTTCCTTTAAAAAATTTTTCTAAATTTTGTTTTTATCTTCTTTTCTTCCCGAACCCCAGAGTTAAGTGTCGAATTTTCTGTTTTTAAGATAAGAAGTTTGACCCACCTTTCTCAAAATTATCAGGCGTTTAATTTCGTATTCAGCGTATGTGGAGGACGAAGACTAAGAACCGACGACCTTGTTCATTATTTCGTTTTCACAAAGCATGACGAATTAAATGGCCGAAAACTTGTCCATAGACCTTAAAGGTGTTGTTCCGGTTAGCAGTAAAAATCCCATCCCATTAAAAACGGAAACGTAGTTTTTATTTTATTTTATCTTTTGGCATCTTTCCATTGTATTAAGGATCTATTCTTCATCTGGATGTTAGTGTAGGATAAGAACACTATCCAGAAGTCAAGATTTGGAGTATGGAAATAAATACAAGTTTATTTACATTGTAATTTTAATTATACTGTCTTATTATCTAATGAAGCAATAAATGAGAATTAATTATTACAAGATTAGTTTTTATTAATTAAAATTTATTATTTTAGATTAAAGAAGAAATAAAAATATTATTTAATAATTTTAATTGATAATTTAAAAAATAAAATAAAATTTAATAAATAAAAATTTCTGCTTTTAGTTCAAAGAAGAAATAAAAATATTTAATTATATTTTTTTTTAATATCAAAAAGTAAAATTATTAATTAAAATTTATTATTTATTTTTTTTTTTTTTTTTTTGAGCAAAGAAGAAATAAAAATATTTAAATATATTTTTTTTTTTTTTTGGCAAAGAAAAAATAAAATTATGATTTAATAATTTTAATTCATAATTTAATAAATAAATTAATTTTAATAAATATAAAGTTCTGCTTTTAGTTCAAAGAAGAAATAAAAAAAATTTTAATATATTTTTTTCTAAATATCAAATAGTAAAGAAGAAATAAATTAATTCTTGATAATATTTTCTGATAATTCCAAAAATATTTTTAATCTAAATTAGCTCTTGAGTTATCTAGTCCACAATCTAGACCAACCACAGAGAGAAAGTTAGAAAATGAACAGTTATACTACTTTTCTTCTTTTCATCTATTTACAACTTATTTAAATCTCAATCCCGGTGACATCGGAAGAACTGACCACGTGGTAGGAGCATAAAAGAGACCCAGGAGAGTTTTTAGCTCAGTTTGGTTGAGCAAGGGCCTGGAGATCCATAATATTAGCTGGAGCTGAAGCAGATGAAGCTGAAGCTTATGCCAGCTCGTGGATGTGGAGTAGAACTGAGTATCTGGCGGCCTTATATACGTTGTACGTTATACATAAGAGAAAAGTAGATGTAGAAGAATATCTGGCTGTGCTCCGGTAGTCTTCTGAAGAAGAGGGAGCGAGGTGTGGCTAGCAACCAGCGCCAGAGCGAGAGCGCTGCGGGAAGAAGAAGGGAGAAGGGCTGCGCTCTGATCGAGGAAGAGAGAGCGAGTGGTGTTGGCCACACACGTAGCAGAAGAAGACGAGACTCCAGTGGTCCAAGAGAGAAGAAAGAGCTGAGGATGCTGGTCGGTGGATGCTGTCTCCACCGGGACTGAGCAGGACGGAGATGCAAGAGGCAAGGAGACGAGGAAAGGGAGGACCCGCAGGCTCCGTGCCGTGGACCACCCACCTTGCCTCGGAGGCTCTCTACTCAGCCTCAGCCGAGTTCTCTCTACTCACCAACTTCTGCCATCCACCATTCGAAACTCGACTTCTCTCCTGCTACATACCTTCTGCTCTCTGGTTTAGTGTCTCTGTACCTACTCTGGGCTCTACTCTCCAGTCTAATCGTCTCTCTGGAGGTTTAGTTACCGTTCTGTTAAATAAATTATTTTTCTGATAATTATTCCTCTCAAAATCATGTTAAAATATTTTCTTGATCTAAATTGATCAATATTGATCTAGATTTTTCAATATTGATTGAAATTTATCAATTCATAATTGATCATTTGTCAATAGTATCTTGTCAATTAGTTGACAAGATACAAGGTCATTTCTTAATTATTAATATTTTCCAAGATGTAAGCTCATCCTGATGTTACACTCATCAAGAGCTTTTATTTGAGTACCCACATGCATTTTTGATATATTTTTCATACATACATATATGTAATATATATAAATATATAAAATATATGAAAAATTGATGTGAGTACTCAAATGAAAGGTCTCGATGAGTGTAACAACGGGATGAGCTTATATCCTTAAAAATGTCAATAGTTCACAAAATACAAGGTCATTTCTTAATTATTGACATTTTTAAAGATATAAGCTCATCCTGATGGTACACTCATCAAGAGCTTTCATTCGAGTACCCACATGGAATTTTTTATATATTTTATATATATATATGGTATTTGTGAAATATATAAATATATAAAATATATGAAAAATTGATGTAGGTACTCAAATGAAAGGTCTCGATAAGTGTAACATCGGGATGAGCTTGTATCTTTAAAAATGTTAATAGTTCACAAGATGCAAATATTTTTTTAGTCCCCACTTCACCGGCCTGTAATTCAACGAATCTTTGATTTTTTTTACACTCTCAAAATGTCAATAAAAATGTTTTTCATTTTTTTTTATCTTAGTTTGAAAATGTCCAAAATTCAGGCTTTTGAATCAAAATATCCTCTTAAAGAAGAATCTTTAATCAATTATTTTTATTCAAAGAATTTTTTGATGTAGATGTTCAAAAATAATTGGACAAAGAAGACTATCATGTAATTTTTGATATTATTATCCAGTCTTTAGGTTTTGAAAAATATATATTATAAATTAAAATTTAATTGAATCAGAAATTTAAGAAAATTAAAAAATCTACTAAAAAAAAAAACATTAAGTAAACAATCAAATATTTTATTTTAAGTAGTACAAAAAATATTTAACAATTGAAGTAACAATTAGATACCCAGTTGCTTTCAATGTAGTTAAAAAACTACAGTACTGAGTCGATGAGATGTAGGGATTACAATGGTTGAATTTACATAAATAATTAAGCTACGTTGTATATTAATAAACATTTGTCGAGGTAAGAAGTCGATAACAATACTGCTTTTATTTTATATACCCATAATTAATTAAAATGTCCTTTTGTTATGGTAGGCTCGGAGAATTACGGAAGTAAAGAGGACTGGGTCAAATACAAACGAGAATAGCTTCTATGGTTATTAAAATTTTATAATTGTAAACAAAATCTAAACAAATATTTAATTTCATGGTCTACAATAAAAAAAAAAATTTTACAAATTTTCATGATAAAAAAAAATTATTTTCCAAAATTAAAATTATTAACAAAACAAAAAAAAAACTAAAGACCGATAATTAAGTCATTAACATCAACATGTTAGTAAAATATTGACATAAATTAAAACTATTACAACCTGTAATTAAATAATAATTTTATCTTTATAGTCACAATAATAAAAATCATTTTATCGGCAATTATACCCTAGAAAGTTTGAGTAACCCTAGTTCAATACACGAAGATACATATTAAAAAAAAAAAAGTAATATATGCACGGCAATAAAAAAAAGTAAATTATTTTCTGCAGCTGAACAATTGGTAATAATGACGCGGCAACAGAGAGCTCACGTTAAAACGTTTTATAGTTCATAAATAAGCGGTTTGGTGGACGAAGTACACAGGATGACGGGTAAGGCAAGCGTAATTACGGGGCTGTTTGCCGACGGGTAAAGCCAACCGGCTACGGTTTAAACTCTCTTACTCCGTTAATCTTGATTTGATGATCAATGAATACTCAGCTATACTACAGCCCTCTTGCTTGCTCTGTATTTTATCTTTATTTGTATTCTCGCTGGTAATTTTGTCAGTTGTTTATATTATGTTTGCTCTTTGCGTAGTGAGCGACAACAAAGCCGCAGATAAGTAATACAGGAAGTATTATACCAGGTGCAGCCCTTAACTGGTGATGATCTACGATCTGTTTGTATCTGAGCTACCATCAAGTGTGATTTGATAATCTACCTGATATCAAATGTGTACCTTAAGCTAGAATAGAACCAATGATTCTGTCACTTTAGATATAATAGATGTAATAAGGATCTGCGGCCACCGGGAAACCGGAAACTCCCTGTAAAGTTTACTCCTAATGACCGCTAAGCGTAGCCATAGACCTCCCAGCCTGTACAGCAGCAGTATTCATCACGTCTCTCCCTCTAAAAACTCTCATTTAAGGTTTATTTATTTTATCGCTAGTAATAGTAATTACTTAAAATCAATACAGCATCACTTATATCACTTATATCACTTGTTTTTTTTTTAATTTATCTACGTATATTTGATTTATAATGTATAATGTCTGATTACAGTAATTTAAATAGTCAATGATTCTCGTAAAAATATATAATTCTATTTAAAGGTTTAATAATATGCAATTAAAATTAAAAGGTAAGTAATAAATGGTTGAAATAATAAATAATCAGTTATTAATGAGGCGTTACCACATCATGCATAGCGTATTTCCAGGTCCAGGCTCTTGCTACCTCTTCAAATCTCTCACGGTCATTAGTATACATATCACCGAGCTCCGGCTCCATGCAAACCTGACAGTAAGGATCTGTGAGCAAGCTCTGGACGCTTATCAACACTTTAGATATCGTAAGAGCCAGCGACCAGTTGTGTTGGATTGAGTCGATACCGACGTCTCCGTGCCTTGATACGTTCGGGTGGAGAATCTTTGTCAGGAATCTTACTACCGGTGGACACATTGGATAACTAAAATAAATACAAATAATTTGTTATTTTACTTTTAAAAATATTTACTATCATAATTTTCAGGCTTCTAGAAATTTATCCTAATTTTTGAAAATAATTATTAAAACTAAGTAATAAATATTTATAAATGGACTAACAACCTTGCAGTTACTATGTGACTACCGTGACTTGTAAACTATAAATAATTAAAATTTTACTTTATTAAATAATGATTTTTGTTAAATTGCACTGTACTTTTTTAACTATTGATATTTTTAAAAATATAAGCTCATCCCGATGTTACACTTATCAAGGGCTTTTATTTGAGTACCCACATGCATTTTGATATATTTTTCCTATATACATATATATATATATATATATATATATATATATATATATATATATATATACAGTGTATGAGTAGTGTATAATAGGTAATAGGAAAAGAGAGACAGAGAAGATGAGAGCAGAATGATCCGTACGTGGTGTGGGACCACGCCCTCGCAAAGAAGCGTCGCCGTCGTGGCCCTGCCAAGCGTTAGAGCTCTAGTCTCTACAGCGCGAGCTCGTCGCGCCGGCGGCGGCGGTGGCGGCTGCCAGCCCACCCACCCAGCATCCTCAGCGTCGCGACGCCGACGTATACTCTATACTCGCCAGTCTTTAACACACCGAACTCGCCAGTCTCCCACCTAACCGGCTACGAGCAACATCAAGCTTCGCGAGGAATTTTTCCGCGATTATACCGCGTACTCGGTACGGCGTGTTGAATTTTTTTCTGTGCTTAATTTTAATTGTTATTTCAATTTTATTAATTTTTTTTTTGTGGTAAAAATTAGAAATTTTTTTTCTGTTCGTGTCAATGAATTGGAAAATTGTTGAAAATAATTTTTTTTTTTGGATTATTTATTTGTAGTGGTTGGTTTTTAGTGAATTTTAGTGGATAATCCTTACGCGGTTGGTGGTTTCAAAAGGTACGTGGTAATATTGTGGAGGATTTGAGAAGTTAAGGGAGAAACTGGAGGCAAAAAATAGAGAAAAAAAAATTTTATTTTTATTTAAATAAATATTTAAATTTAAATTATGGGATAAATATTGGATATGAAAAAAATGTAAGACAATTTTTGTAGAAAATTTTATTTTCTATAAAAAATGTCTGATTCAATTTTAACGTAGCTTTTGTTCTTTAGATGAAATTTGAATAAATAGTTTTAAGAAAATTTTTCCAAGTATTTCAGTAAAAACACATGTCAATTTTAAAATTGAATTTAAGGCTCAAATACGAGAGATACATAAAATTGTGTAGAGTATTATTTTATTGGAAATTCAATTTTTTTTTTTAAAGGTCTGATTCAATTTTACTATCTTTTGTTCTTTGGACGGAATTTAAATAAAATTTTTTGAAAAAAATTTTTCAAGTGCTCAAGTAGAAAGATCTGTCAACTTTAAAATAAAATTTAGAGCTTAAATATGAGAGGTAGATAATAGATGAAATATATAATGTACAGGGATCATATTATCGGAAATTTAATTTTCTATGAAAAAAAAGTCCTTAGTAATTTTAGCGTATCTGCAGAATATTAATTTTAAGTCGTGGAACATATTTACAAAAAATTGAATCTTGAATAAATTGGAGTGTATTTTTTTTTCAGTATTTTGATCGTAAAATTTTTTTTTAGTGACAATAAAAGAGTTGTTTTCAAAGTGTTACTCTTCAGATGATTGATATTGTCGATTTACCGTGGTTACGGAATATAACATTGATAATTTTGTTATTGGGTAAATATCATTTTGTCGAGTTGATTGTACCGCGGTTTTGATTTTAAACTGACACGTGTGCGAACGACATCGAGAGGTTGAAGTTGTTTTTAAATTTGTTGTCGAGGCTTTAGTAAAATTTTATTATCTATATTATTAAGAGAATAAGCGAAATTTTGTCAATTTATCATGATAAGTATTTAGGCTGCATTCGAAAATGCTCTATCTCTAGATCAATAATTAAGAAATGACCTTGTATCTTGTCAAGTATTGATATTTTTAAAGATATAAGCTCATCCTGATGTTACACTCATCGAGACCTTTCATTTGAGTACCCACATGGCATTTTTTATATATTTCATATATATGGTATATGTGGAATATATAAATATACAAAATATATGAAAAATTGATGTAGGTACTCAAATGAAAGGTCTCGATGAATGCAACATCAGGATGAGCTTATATCTTTAAAAATGTCAATATTTCACAAGATAAAAGGTCAATTTTCAATTATGTATCTAGAGATAGAGCATTTTCGAATGCAGCCTAAATACTTATCATGATAAATTGACAAAATTTCGCTTATTCTCTTAATAATATAGATCAAATTACCTATAGGGCACCTGGAGATACAAATAAAACAAGCCGCCTTCATAAGGACTGCCAATAGGTCCAGTAATAGTAGCCTGCCAATGACAAGACATGGCATCTAAAGGAGTAGCCTCGATACCTTCTGGCGGGTCGATCCTCAAACTTTTCAACTCCATGCGGAGTCTGTTCCTTCTCCAGGAGTTTTCCTCCATAGTAGCGGGCTTCGAACGCAGACACATCTGAGCCAGACAAGTTCTGCAGGGCATTGACGAGGCCAACCGGTCGTAGACTTTGTACCAGTTCTCAACATGTCCAATGGCCTTGTAAAGAGGCCAGCGATGTTTTACATGTTGCTGCCATTGCTGAGGAGGAACGTGGGTCAACAGCAGTCCGTTCCATCGACGGCAGACATTTGCAGCTGACCAAAGACTCACGTCATCTAGGTGAGAAAAAACTGCAAGAAGTACTTCTGGAGGAAGTCGCTCAACTAGGCCTGGCTCGTTTATTGGCTCGTGTTCATGGTGACGATGGTTGCTCAGCACTTCTACTCGCTCTGCAAGAGTTCGGGGCTTTATCGCGTCGATTATATTGTGCAGAGACAACGCTGAGAGGTCCAGAGAGTTCGGGTCATTCGAGGTCGAAGCGTCTTCTGAGCGGTACAATTTTATCGCTTCGAAAACTCGGTTAGAAGGTCCCGGACCGTGCAAGTGGTTGAAGATCTCCGGGTCTATTGAAACCTTCAGGAGAGCTTTCTCCTGGTTGTCAGAGCTTGAGTGGGCTTCGGAGCGCGCTCGTTGGGGCTGACTTACTCGACGCTCAGGGTTGTAGAATAAATCTGTTGGCTCATCGTTGCCCGAATCTTCGTCGTCGGTTTTCTAAAATTATTTTTTTAATTTATTAGAATTTAAATTTTTTATTTATTATGATAACATTAGAGATAATAATAAATAATTTTCAATAATAATAATAAAAATAATTTTTTAATATTAGTAATAAACAAATTTGAGCAATAATAAAATTATAAAAAAAATTCCACATGTAAGAATTGTAAAAAACTATAAATGGATTTTTTTATAATTAATTTTTTTTAACTTCCCGCTAAGAGAATTGAATTTTTTTTTTTTTTTTTAATGAATCTGTTAATTTATGACACTAGACATTTTAAATTTGTATTTATTTTTTCATCAATTAAATTAGAGCTAAAAAATATTTTTTTTTTTTAATACAAGATTTATGTTTTAAGCAATTCCATATGAAATTTATGCAGTATTAGTATTTTTTTTTCTTTGTGCATTTCATATATATTTTTAAATATTTTGTAAAATATAGGATAATTTTGTAATATCTAGCTGTATGTACAGATGCTCTTGCATCTCTATAGAACTGTATGCTGCAAATAAATAATAATTGCATTTATGGTTTTTTTTTTATTTTCTACATATCAAATTTTTCTTTTTTTTTAATAAAAAAACAAAATCCTTAAATTTGACAGATGTCTGCTAATTTTATTATCATACTAATTTTAGAATCATAATTTATTAAACCTTGTGATTTTAATATTTAAAATTAATAATTAATAATTAATAATTAAAAATAAAAAAATACCTCACTGAATACTGGAACTGGTCGAATTCCAATTTCATCGGGAAACAAGAATGCATGACAAGTAGCACAAACAGGTTCTTCAAAGCTCGGTCCATAGTACCCGTTGCAGATATAACAAGCCAGAGTCTAAATAAATAATCAACTCTAATAAGTATAATTAAAAATAAAAAAAAAAAAATTATAATTGAAACTTACAGAAAACTGAAACTCAGGACAATTAATTTCCACTGGGTCCAGCAGCTCGTCGTCATTTGGGTACAAACAGCAGTCCAACTTTTCCGGTTTTTCATGATTGTCAAAACCTCGGGTGTCTTCAATGTTGTCACCTGCCATTATCATCTTAATTAACAGGGACGTAAATGTAATTAAATAAAATTATCGTCCGTCAATTCGTCCCACGAGTTGTCTACGTGAGTTTAACGCTGAATACTTCACATTGGCATTGACGTGTGGTGGCTATTGTATGCTAATTGTTTGATGCAATGTAAATTTTATGATAAATGACACTTTTAATACAAGTACACAGTTATATTAATAATATTTATCACCATAAATAATATGATATGGAGAAATGTCTCCAGAATCCCGAGTGGCTATTGACACGATCTGACATGGTGTTAAATAACTAGAAATCACTAAAAAATTACTAGAAGTGACGTTGCCCGTGACTTTAAAAAATGACACTGAAGTTAGCAGACATGTACAAATTTTTGATTCCTTTTATTAATTAAATTACAACTAAAAAGATAAATAGTTTTTTAAGTTTTTTACATGTTACAATTTTTTTTTTTAATTGTTTAATTTAAATTTTTTCAATAAAAAATTTCTAAAAATTTTATTACTAAATAATTTTTTAATTTTTTCTAACAAACAAATTAACATTTAAAAAATTGCATTTTTAATTTTTTAAAATTTCTACATGTCAATTTTTTTTTTTTCCATAATTTATTTCTTAAAAAAATTATTAAAATTTCATAAATATGTGCTAAATTAATTTTCATATTTTATTGAGACTGAAGTTGAAAACATTAAAATTTTTTTTAGAATTCTATAACAATTAAATTGTTATAAAAAAAAAATTTAATTAAAAAATTCTCCACATGTGAAAATAAATAAAAATTACAACCAATTTTTTGGACCGGAAGGAAGTTAGCGTAGAATAATTTTTTTTTTAATTAAATCATATGTCAATTAATTGCTCTTTAAATGCTCTATTAGAATCCGTAATTGCTCCAGGTCTATTACTATTAGTTAATTTTTAATTAATTTTTCAAAAATTTTTTTTTTGAAAATTTAATTTTGCTATAAAACCTAAAATATTCACTTTTTCAAAAATTTTTTTTTCTCAAACAATTGCTCTCAATTTGCTCTACTAATTAAAAAAAAAAAATATTATAATTTTGCATTATTTATAATAATTGA